TATGTGGATTAGTGTGACGGGTGTGGGACGGGTGGGGAACAGGTAGGTGGCAGCACGAAACAAGGAAAATAAACACAAAAGTGACAAAAGAGTTGAAAAGACCCATTCCCCCCCCCCCCCCCCCAAAATACCAACTTCAATTACTCAATAATCATTTTCAGAGGCCGGGGTCCTCTACATTACTTCCCGGTTCCACGACAGATATCTGGAAGCATCATCCAGCACAAAAGACCATTTTTTATGACCAAGCAAATGAAGAAAAAAGTTAAAAAAACTGCTAAAAAAGAAAAGATAGTGCTCTTTTCACAGATGGTGTCCGCTCCAGGCGGGGTGTCAGATGTCAGGGTATGATTCACTGACCATGGATGTGGCAGTCAAGACGACTGCATGTGAGCGGGCGCGCGGACCATATTCATTGACAATAGTCTGAGGCTTCATTGAAATAGGCCGTGCTCTGAGAGAAATTCTCTTTGGCAAAGGAGGGCGAGAGTAACTCCATACGCCATTTGCTGTAGGTGAGGGGATCACACCCCCCCAAACACCTCCCAAACCACAATCAATTTCCAGTGATGAAGCCATTGGTCTTTGCCTTCGCGGCGAGTGAAACGTGTGTGATTTCACAAATCAAAAAACTTGGTTGTGATTTCATGCACGTTTGGGACAGCCACAGGACCCCAACAACAGAAACAAAAGAAAAACCTATCAATGGGAGAGCAAAAGAAAACATCCTTTTCCCGGGCTTAATTCACAAAAACAGGCTACTGCTGATTTCCTGCCAAATCCACGATGCCTGACAGTCACACACCTTAACACACTAATCCACAAACGATTCCACATACATCGGTAGTGGGATCTCCCTTCAGGATGGAGTGCCTAGATCAAAAAAAAAAAAAAAAAAAAACAAAGAAAGAAAGAAAGAAAGAGAAGGACAGAAATAAAAAGAAAAAAGGTACCGTATATTTATAAAAAAAAAGAAAAGCTATGAGATGTCTCAAGGTCAAGCTCGTTCGTTTTCGGTTTTGGAACATTTGTGGGTTTTCTTCTCAGTAGGTTGAGCGGCGCGGCGTGAGCCTCACAGCAACAGTGCATATGTTTTCTTTCTTTGGACTTTTTTTTTTTTTATAGTAAAATTTTAAATTTCAGTATTTTTAAAATTTTATCATATATCTCAAGCTGTATGGCTGTGAGGCCTTGTGACGACACTGCCAATTTCAGTGATCTAATTCAGCTGAAAGGAACGTAGAAAATAATAAAAAGAGTCGTTCGGGACATCCGTACGATACACACAGAAAATAAGCATGGTCCTCACCGACTCCTCGGGCAGGGATGACACATTAACAAAAAACAAAAAAAAAGAGAGTAAAAGAAGACCACTGAGTCTCATCCACCTTGCTCTCACTGTTATCGGGCTGGTTACAAGATTCGCGATATCTTTCTTTTTGTTTTTTTTCTCTTTTTTTTTTCCTTTGTTTCCGTTATGCGATAAATGTATAATACTGTATATGCTTGAAAACAGCGTGAAAAAAAAAAAAAAAAGGGAATTGTAACAGTCTGCAAACGCCAGCGATTTAAGATATGCTGGGCAGTCTGTTGTGTTGTGACTCATGCCTTTGATCCTCTTCTTCTTGCTCTTTTTTTTTTTTGGAAAAAAGAACATTTAATTAATATTCTATAATAGATTTGAAACTCGAGCCCACAGACCTCACAATTCGACCCTTGCTAAGTTATCCTTGTGAAGGGCATATAGCCAGCCAGTTTCCATTTTCGCTTGTGAGAGTTTTGCTTGTGAGGTATTAAAAAATTTCGAACCTTTGTCTCTCTCCCTTCTCCTATATGCCCTTCCCTCAGAACTCCTGCACTCCTCTCAGCTGTTGCAGCTGCTGGCTATTCGTTCTCTTCTGTCCGCTATTCGTTCTATTCTGTCGGCTATTCGTTCTATTCTGTCAGCTATTCGTTCTATTCTGTCGGCTATTTTGTTCTATAATGTCGGCTATTTTGTTCTATTCTGTCGGCTATTCGTTATATTCTGTCGGCTATTCGTTATAGTCTGGAGTCACTAGGTCCTGCCTAAAAGGGGGGTCGTCTCTATGTCTGTCTACCTTTGCTGCTTTATCGTGCCTATATAATTTGTTAACAGTGCCCAGGCTGCTCTGTTAACCCCTAAAAACTCTTCTGCCTCCCTCGTGCCCAGGCTGCTCTGTTAAACCCTAATAAACCCTCCGTCCTCTGTTCTGAATAGTCTTCAGGCCAGAGCGGAAACCAAATGCCACTCTGCCCTATTCTACCAAGAAAAAAAAAAAAGATGAAACGGAATTAAAAGCCAAACCCTGTTCTTCCCTACTCTACCCACATAACACGAAGGAAAAAAAAGAAGCAAACAAGGCAACTAAAAAAAAGCAAGCTTAAAAAAAAAAAACAGCAAACACTTCTACAATCCCCCAACCTTGAGGTATATGATGCCCTTTTTGGCACCCGTCGAAACATGGCGTTGGGGATGATGCTGTGCCTGTTTAACGCTCTCATGTCACTCTTCATTTCCTTCGAGTAATTAAGTTTGCTTGGTTCTGTTCTGGATGTATGTGGACCTGAAGGTGAGCACAATTCATCTTCTCACGTCACTCAATCTCAATTTCACCCACTCAGTCCCCCCTGCCTGTCCTCTTCTTGTTTTGGTTATTAACTTCTACTTGCCAAATGCGGATATGGCAAACGTACACTCTATGGAAACGTGGCAATATGCATTCAGCATTCTCAAAATTTGCCCCATCCACATCTACCGTGCCCCTTGCCAAGACCCCCCTCCCCACCGCCCCGTTCCAACCCCTCTCGATGACAGGTAACCGCCGGGGGGTCTTGGCAAGGGGCACAGTAGATATGGATGTATGTCTGCCAAAGCCACTTGCACACCCATAGCCTTCTCTGGTCTGCAGGGGGGAACAGTTGGGTTCTGCCATTGCAAACGGACTGGAGAAGCCATAGCGGTCTCATTTATCGGTAGGCTGACCACATGACTGAAAGTGCTTAAACCATCGGTACCTTTTCCCATTTATCGGTTGGCCGTAAGCACATCGAATTTTGGAGCCATGAAGTGAAGAAGGGGTTGCTGATGAAATTTACCAACGGCGGCTCTTATCTGCTTGGCTTCCAAACATATACGTGCACGACTGTTATTTTCATGTGAGGAAAGGTACTGGTGGTTTAGAGGAAAGCTGTTCTTACCCCCTCTTTTCTGAAACCCAACCTTTGGCCCCGATGCCCCTTCCCTGTTTGGTGTTTATGTTAGAGCGCGATCCTCACATGAGCGCCCCGATGATCTTGCCATTACAATCAACACTGTCCATGAGACTGTCATACATAATTGAAGCTCCCTTCAGAAGCCGCTCACTGCATTTAAATGTAGGGGAGCCATACCCGCCAGCTTGCAATCATTTGTTTTGACATTTTGTACTGTGTACTTCAATTGTACACCTTGTACTTTGTCGTGTGTGCTGTTTTTTTTTTTTTTTTTTTTTTTTTTTTATTTTTTTTTTTTTTTTTTTTTTTTTTTTTTAAGAGTTATTTGCTATTAATTCGAATAGCTAAGCCACATGCTATTTGCATGGCACTTATCAGGAGCGCAGAAGCTGGCGAAATAGACCAAGCACAGTTGCCACTGTTGTGAGAAAGACTCAGGGCATACTCACACTGGGACTTTTCTACTTGTTTATGGACGTAATTGCGGTCCGATGCATCCAGGTCCGACCGTAAACGCGGCCAGATACATTTCAGACAGAACTGGTGTGGTGTGAGTAGTACTAAAGTAGTAGAGTACACCCTCAGAAAGTTGCAAACCGTGTACTAGACAGAGATACAACCCACCGTCTGTTTAGAAAAAAGAGAACGGACCTCCATTTAGGAAAAAAAAAAAAAAAAAAAAAAAAGGTGGAACCGTACAGAGACAATTAGCATGGCCCCTGCTCAACTTCTAATTGAGAAATGGTCCGACGAAAAAAAAAAAAAAAAAAAAAAAAAAAAAAAAAAAAA